GCCCAAGACGAGCTAGATTGACCTTTAGATTGAACGAAGAGCCGTTTTAACAAGGAAGTCGTTATTGTCGAAATAGGAATAATTTTGCACAATGTGACAGCTGCGTAAGCTAATTGTAAACTACGTTCAATTGTTGTACCTTTTAAACTGGCGATAGCCAAATATCTTTTTTTGAAAATAGGAGTGCCTCGGATTTAAAAGACTTTGGTTTCTCCGTCTTTCTTGGAGAGGAACAGTTGCCTGTCACTCACTACACAATACTATAATATACATGTAGTTAGATCCAACCAACAACTTCACATGGTACAAACTACAAACTAACTTCTTAAGTTTTTAACTATAATAAACCTGCACGGCTAGTAATCAACAAAGCCCTTTTTGCAAGTTCTCTGTCATGGCTCGGTCTGTTATTCAATCATCCTCCCTCTGTAACTCCTCCTCTGTGGATCATTCAAGGGTAAAACAATCTCATCTTTCTGCTGCTTTTGTTTTATTTCTTGCTTTTTTGATGCGGGAGTTGGCTAATTGGTGCAGATCTTGAGGACCCAGTTGAGATTCTTGGGAATTGAACAACCCCATTTCAGATTGTTGAATTTGCCCAAGTAAGCTTTGGAATCGTTAGACCCCGCTCTTTCTTTCCTTTCCTAGTTATCCCCCCAGATTCACTTTCTTCTCGGAATGCAAAGCTTTTACATTTTTTGTTTATGCCTTTATAGTGTTTTATCTTAGAAATGAGGTGTTATATGTGTACCCATATTATTGCTTTTCCAAAAAAATTCAAAGCGTCTATCTAAGAATTTTGGTATCTAAATTTTAGTGATGCGCAGTTTTGTTTTGAAGTATCAATTTTGTTGTGTGATTGGTAGCTTAAAAAGTAAGGTCTTGCTCAGGATTTCCCTTTGACTTCTTTCCAGGCTAAGATTCTTTTATTTGCTTAGAACTCCTTACAATTCAATTTCTTTGATATTGCATAAATTATTGTAACTATAAATAATCAATGCCTCATGTAAAGATAGGTTCTTTTCCTGGTTCCCGTACTTGATCATCCTATTTGGGCAATGAGCCTGCCTTTTTTCTATTTGGACCAGTCACTGCCAGTTTATTGCAGAATTCCTTGTGTTCATGCATTAAGAGCTTCTAGCTTTACCATCAATATATAAATTTCACGAATTGATTTCAGAATATAACTTTTAAGCTGCAGGTATAACTCTGCTCTAAAATTGAAAGCCTTGAAGGAACCAATGACCCTAACCAAAGAAATGATGGATGAAAAAGAGATGAGTGTTGTGACCGAAAGTGAATCAAATGAATTCACCACGTTGAAGCATAGATTTTTGAATTACAAGAAGGACAAATACATGTACGCACCATCAGAAGCTGCTACTGTTGTTTAGCATGTTTGACAGTAAAGGCTTCTTTTCGTTTGATTTTTGTTTCCTTCGTTTGGACTAGGAAAAATTTGGAGCATTTTCAAAGTCTTGCAGAAACACAATCACCAAAGGTAACTTTCTTTCACCTTTTAGACATTTTCCAAGCATGGATTTTGTGCTGGTACTCAATTTTGATGTTACTTGGAAATTAATGAGACAAGGAATTTCCCTTTCCCTTGTCTGGTTTAATAATGAAAGAGGAAGGAAAGTGGAGAGAACACAAAACATTTCTCTTCATTTTTCCTTCTATTTTTCGTGTCTGTATTTTGTTCTTCTTTTCCCTTCCTTTCCATATTACAATCCATAAAGTTATTTTTGTGGTCATGTGTTGAAGATCTCGACTGACAATTTGAAGGGCAGTTTATGGTAATTTCTTGTGCAGACTCTCGTGTGTGTCCCTCGAACATACTAGGATTTCAACCAGGAGAAGCCTTTGTAGTCCGCAATGTGGCAAATCTGGTGCCTCCCTATGAGGTGATGCATACTGCACTTGCACTTAATAAATGTCGTTTTCCTTGATGGTGAACAAGCGTTGCAATGCTAAGGATGTGTATTAACAATGCTCAGAATAAACGTTTTCAATTTTCTTCTTGTGCAGAATGGTCCTTCAGAAACAAATGCAGCCCTTGAGTTTGCTGTTAATACTCTCAAAGTGAGTAGTATTTGTACAACAATTCTACAATGTGATGTTTCCTTTTATATTCTGCTGAGATGCCTGTTTCTATTATCTTTATGCTTTGTTAGGGTGATAAGAATTTGTAGAATATGGAATCGAGTTAGTTGAGAAGTGAAATTCTAAACAGGATGTCGCGATGACGTAATTCCGAGACCTTCGATTTAACTGGACTGGAACTCATTGACATTCTAAAACATGATTTTGATGATGAATTTACTTTATTCAACTTGATGTAAGTTATGTGTTATAAGTCATAAATGTTCCAAAACACAAGAGACACTTGCGATGATGAGATTATTTACTTTTGGTCATCACCAATGAGATTGAAGTTCCTATTCAAATTCCTCTAATTTTCTACTTGATTCTCTTTGGTTCATGCCCTCTTTTCTTACATTTATTTTTTATCTTTTGGGAAAGGGAGTGGGGACTTGCGGCGATTAGTCTCTCATCTTTTCTTTTCTCTCAAGTTTTCGGGTTTGTCTTCTTTTATCTGCAGGTCCAAAACATATTAGTCATTGGTCACAGCCGCTGTGGAGGCATTCGTGCCTTAATGAGTATGGACAATGAAACACCTTCAAGGTTTGGCTAGTGTCTCTTCTTACTAAGTTTTGTTAGAGGCTCTAACAAACTAATTGCTTTATGAAAAGCCGTAAAATAGTCTTGCTGTGTAATAAGCTCTTCTATTAATTCCTTGTAGCTTCATTAGAAGTTGGGTAGTAGTTGGAAAGTCTGCCCGGGCAAGCACAAAAGCTGCTGCTTCCAACCTCAGCTTTGACCAGCAATGCAAGCACTGTGAGAAGGTGCAATCTCCTTTCCACACTTCATTTATGTTTTTGTTATAATGCAGTTTAAATACACTTGAGGTATAACCACCCAAAGTCATGCCATGGATCCTTTCTGATCACTGGAATGCATGTGTCTTCCTCTTTCTTTTGGCTAGAACTTCCATACATTTTGCCACTTTTTTTTTTAGACACTTAATAGTTGCACGTATTAATTATTTCTTCATAATTTCTTTTCCCTTCAGAAAAAAATCATGTCTAGTTTCAGAGTCACATGCTCCACCCGGTCCTGCTAATTTGAATTATATGCAATATATAATACTGAATGCTTCTTAGCGCGAATTCATGTGTCAGTGCTTTCAAAATAGAGTGCTGAGTGTCGGTGTGTGCATGCTGATGCTGTAAAAGTTTGCTGGATTATGTGTATTTTGTAATTGGAATGGGTGGCCTAATCTGGAATGAGGAATTCGAAATTGCAGTTAGACATTGTAACTTGTAGAATTTTCTGTGTGTATGCATGCACAAGCTATTCTGAGTATTGACGCAATGCACATACTTGTACATCCAGGAATCAGTCAACTGCTCATTGATGAATTTGTTTACGTACCCATGGATTAAGGACAAGGTGAATAAAGGGGAGCTCTTAATTCATGGTGGCTACTATGACTTTGTCGACTGTACTTTTGAAAAGTGGACTCTTGAGAACAACTCTCGAGTGGATAATCAAGTCTCCATCAGAAACCGGGAATTTTGGTGCTGAGATTCTTCTTGTCCTCTGTTTGTATTTTTTTTTTTTCGTCCTCTGTTTGTGGTGTTGTATCAAGTTACCTGTAATACAAATCCCATTGTTATCCTTGTTGACAAACTAATGTTGTATAATTTTCAAGTGTGAACTCTATTTGCCACTTGTATTGAAGAAAAAGGATAATTTTGCAATATATAATTTGTTCCGCTAGTATCAGTATACGTGCCTCTATGCTTTTTGTCTATAGTCTATTACCCAGACAAATGCTATACGCTATGTAACTGCCCCTTCTGTTTGTCACTTGTATATATTGTGAATATCATTTGGTTTGGGTCTGCCATTTTCATTTTTAAAGAACCAGCAATGCCTTGTTTATGTCATTAAGATTTCATGCCTTGGAAATGGACTCGAAATTACCTTCTCCGGGTTTTGTTCTCTCCCTACACCTTTAATTTGGCTAAGTGAATGAAAATATTTATTGCACTACAAACCTATTTGGCTTTAAATGCATCTTAAGTGCAATTTTTGCATTTTTTTTAACTTCAGTCCCGATAAGTATGAAGTTGATCCTACTATGGGTAGACTTGCAAATATTTGTGCAAAGTGGGTATAACTTCAATTGTGACATCAAAAATGAGTATAGATACAAATGCCCCTCGGAAAGCTCATAGCCATATGGACTGGGTTGTAAGACAATGCAACAAAGGGATAGATCAACCCTCTAGCAAGAGCCCTGTTGATAGCAGGCTTCTTTTTGCTGCTTCTTGTTTTGCTTTCCTTGCATAATATGAACCTTTTCTTACCAGAACACTCCATTTTGTTTTGCTAGATAATGTCAAGGTAGACATTGATTGTCAAAATTCTTGCCTACAGAAGAGTCTGAACACAAGAACAGTGACAGATTCAACCATGGGTTGACAGATCAAGAGAAGCTAATATTTTGAGGTCGGACTCTATATAATGTATGAAATAAGTACAGATTGAGTTGGATATATACTTCAAAAATAACTCTATCGACTCAGAACCCACAACATTTAAATTCTACATTCTCCACTGAGTCTGAAAACCAAGTTATACTATGAGGTTTGACTGCATTTGACAAAGTTAGCCTCCGGAAGTTAGAAATGTTCATTCTCTTGCTGATGCAAACAACATGTTGATTCTCGAGTTCTTTTGCGACACTGATTATGTTTGGCATGTCTTGTGGGACAAGTATATGATGAATTTCAACAAGAAAACAATTAATTTGACTCTTGCACTTCTAGAAATATGCAATGTTCTCGACTACATACGACATTCTTGTTGCGGAAGCCAAATGTATATAGTGTGAATAAGTCACAACTACTATACCAAAAATTATNAACTACATACGACATTCTAAATTGTAACACTGCATAACCATAGATTCAAGAAGAAATCTTTCTAGAGCCTATGAATCAGTTGTACACACATTACTCAAATTGCAGGATCTTTCTTGCAATATCGAGCATATCTGGTCTATTTTCTCCCTTAGCCTGGACACATCTTAAAGCGATATTAATGAAAGCTTGTAGCTGTTGATGATTTACATTCGATTCGTTCAAGATTTTAGGGTCCACAATCTGCTTGAATTGATCGTCCTTGTGAATATGGTCATTTACATAATTCACAATGTGTTCTGGATCATCTTCATTGGCCCTGCATATAGGACCTTGTCCATTTAAGAGCACAAGTAGAAGCACACCAAAACTATAGACGTCGGTCTTTTGAGTGACAAACCTTGAAGATTGGTACTCTGGATCGAAATAGCCAGGAATCCAAATCAAGTCATCTTCCACTTGCAACTCTCCAGGAGGAAGAGAAATAACAAATGAGAAATCAAACAGTTTGGGAACACAATGATGGTCCAAGATAATGTTATGGGGGTTCAAGATCCTGTAGATAATGGGAGTTGGAAATGCAGTGTGTAGATAAAGAATTGCACTGGCAATGCTTTTGGCAATCTTCAATCTACTTTTCCAACTTAACAATTTATCGCAATTGGGGTCAAGGAAATTAGCGAGAATCTCGAATCTGGCATCCTCATACACTAGTGCTGGATATCTGAATTCCAAACAACAACCTATAATCTTTAAAACATTCTTATTTCTGCTCATTAGTGATGTGACTGCAATGTCACGTACAGCTCCAGCAAGAATGTCAAAGTTGGAATGTGAGGCCGGGTTACCTGGAATATTTATGAACATTTTGACCAAGATAGAGCGGCCTTGCAGAGTTCCTCTACAGATGTAACCGTAGGTGCTAGCATGGACACGTCCAGCGAAGTTGTTTGTGGCCTTAACTAGTTGTTGAGCACTGTAACTACGGATAGGAATGTCATATGTTCCACTAGAAAAAGAAATAAGCTCTTCCAACAGTGCACTTCCATTTTGTAGGAACAGATTTGGTACATCTTCTTCTTCCTTCCTAAATTTCTTCCAATTTGGGGTTTCTATCCGCACATTTCGTAGTGATAATGCCCTAGAGTACGTCTTCCCCATTTCAGCAGTTTATGAACTCTCATGGGATTATTCATCAAACATCTTGTCTGTACAGAGTAAGAAACAGAATGTGGTTGCTCGGTCTAGTGCAGAAGCAGAATATCGAGTAATGGCTATGGCGACATGTGAGCTAATTTGGATCAAACAGTTGCTCAAGGAGTTGAAATTTGGTGAGATTAGTCAGATGGGACTTGTGTGTGATAATCAAGTTGCTCTTCATATTGCGTCAAATCCAGTGTTCCATGATAGAACTAAACACATTGAGATTGACTATCACTTTGTTAGAGAAAAGATACTCTCGGGAGATATTGCTACAATGTTTGTGAAGTCGAATGATCAGCTTGCAGATATTTTCACCAAGTCTCTCACTGGTCCTCGTATTAACTACATATGTAACAAGCTCGGTACATATGATTTATATGCACCAGCTTGAGGGGGAGTGTTAGAATAGTTATGTGAATGTATGTAATTAGTCCTAGTCCCTTATGTAATAGGAGTAGGTTATGTGTTAGGTATACATATAAATAGGGCTTATTGTAACATAGAATTTTAATCATCAATAATATTTTCTCCCGTGCTTTCTCACAATGAGCAAGCTTCCAACTAAATAGATGTAAATGGAGAGTACAACGTGTATGCTGGTGGAGTGCTTGGCAGCAAACCATTACCTGCATAGATGTCTTCACTGATATTAATCACACGC